AAAATAAAACCAGGCTTGTAGTTTGATGCTAGCCTGAGCTACACAGCAAAATCCTATCTCAAAACAAAGACAGGCAGAGTGGCACGTGCCTGTAATCCCAATTACTCAGATGGCTATGCAGAAAGATTACAAATTCAAAACAACCTGGGCAACTTAGCGAAACTCTCTCTCAAAAATAAAAGGGCTAGGGAAATAGCTCAATGGTAGAGACCTCTTGCCTAGCATGTGCAAGGCCCTATCCAGTCCTCAGTACTGGGGGGATTGGACCGGAGGGAAAAATTAGTAACATTTCCCAAGTACAAAGTGCTTGTACCTATGAAATAGAATAGTAATATTTGGAAGTAAATTTGGATTAGTCTTTATATTACAAACCCTAAGGCAACCACTAAAATAAGTAAATATATGACTGACATACTAAGAAAACAAAAGTATATAAAATGCTCAATTAAAACTATAAAAGAAAAAAAAAAAAAAAAAGTTCAATGAGAGTATTTGCCTAGCATGCCCTGCTTTCAGTCCCCAGCACCAAAAAAAAAAAAAAAAAAAAGAAGAAGCCGGGAGTGGTGGCGCACGCCTATAATCCCAGTACTCTGGAGGCTGAGACAGCAGAAGTACTGTGAGTTGGCAGCCCACCTGGGCTGCATAGGTGAGTCCAAGGCCAGCCGGCACCACATAGTGAGACCCGGTCTCAAAATAAAAAATTTAAAAAACAAAAACAAAAACAGAAACAGAAACTTAAACAAAAGGCAAAAAAAGGGAAAACAAAGTAACAAACAATATTTTAATCTATCAATAATCATTTTAATTGTCAATGGTTTCATTAAAACATGTCAGAGTGAAACAAAAAACAAGACCCAATTACCTGCTGTCTATAAGAAACTCATTTAAAAGCCAGGCACAGCAGTGTCCCCTTACAATCCCAGCACTCAGAGAGGCTGATGCTCACGGACCCTAAGTCTGAGCCCAGCCTAGGCAACTGCACAACTCAGCAAGATGCTATCTCAAAATGTTAAAAAGGGATAGGGATGGTTATAGCGCAATGAGAAGGCTCTGGGTTCCATCCCCAGTAAAACACACACACAAGGAGACTTTCAACTGTTTCCTAAATAATACAACTAGGGAAATATCTGTGTTGTTACTTCCACTAGTAATGACAAGGCTGTTAACTCACTTATTGTAAGTATTCCTAAAACTTGCAGATTAACCACATCCTCAGTAAAAACCCAAAGTATCACTCAACACAGACTTACCCAGGTTTCCTTGCTCAACCGTCAGCACCACCTCATCCATCAGCACAGCCCTGAAGTCCAGTTCCTCCTCACAACACTTGGCCTTCAAAGCTCGCAGGATCTCTTTCTGGGGATAGTCTTCCCTGATTCGACGATCTGTCAAAAACCACAATTTGGCAGCCACAGAGCTACACATCTTGATCTGCTTCTTCTTCTTTGCCTGGAGTATTTCCTCTTGAATGTAAACTCTATCTAGACGTAAGAGAAAATATATATAGAATGTAAAGTCAAGAAATCTACTTGATTTCTGGATTCCAAACAAATAAAAGGCATGGTATATACTAACTACACAAGTAAGAAAAAGTGGGCTGGGAAGATGGCTCAGAGGCACAGTGCCTGCCTGGCAAGTACAAGGTCGAGTTTGATTCCCAGTACCAAAAAAAATAAGAGAAAAAAGAAAAAAGAAAAGGTGAAGAAATACTATCCCTTTTTCCCTTTCACTGAAATTAGACCCTATAGGGGCTGGGGATTTAGCTCCGCGGCACAGCGCCTGCCTGGCAAGTGCGAGGTCGTGAGTTCGATTCCCGGTACCAAAAACCACCCCCCCAAAAAAGAAAAGAAATTAGAACCTATATACCAATTAAAGATATGGGAACTGGCAACCACTGCAGAAGTAAAATTTCTTCATTTCCCCCCAGGAAAGCTCTATCTATCTTAATAATAGTAATTACAGCAGGCCACTTGGTGGGAACTTCCAACACCATATCATACTAATATTGCCTAGGAATATATACTGCAATGATCACTCACTTTCCAACAGGCTATCCCTTCCCTTAAAATGCAGTTCACTTGATACGAAAGAGATGAAATTCCAATCGAGATGCCCCATCTTCCTCATCACTCAATGCTCTGCATTAGTACATTTTTCTATCTGTGGTTATTTTATGTCAGTTCCCTTCCCTTGCTTTGATATAGTTATGTAGAAAATGAGATAGCAGAAAAAAGAAAAAAGAGCTAGTAGCAGCACCTACACTGGTAGCTAAGCAAATACTGACATCATTTATACATTAAAATTAATGAAAATAGCCAGGCATGCTAGCACACTCCTATAACCCCAGTACTTGGGAGGCTGAGGCAGGAGGATTCCAGGAGTTTGAGGCCAGCCTGGGCTACACAGTGAGACCCTGTCTCAAAAAAACCATAAAAGCCGGGCATGGTGGCACACACCTGTAATCCCAGCACTTGGGAGGCTGAGGCAGGAGGATTGCTGCCAGTTCGAGGCCAGCGTGGACTACAAAGTGAGCCCAAGGCCAGCCTGAACTGCATAGCGAGACCCTGTCTCAAAAAACACACACAAAAAAGAAGACCCGAAAATATACTGAAGAATGTGCAAAACATCTACATTTGTCTATTTCGGTCAGGGGACAGTATGCTTACTTGTGTATTATTCCTTTAAATAGAAGTTCTGAAACAGTACACTAGAATACAAAATAATTTTTTGTCTTATAGAGACAGGGTCTCGCTATGCAGTTCACGCTGGCCTTGAGCTCACTTTGTAGTCCAGGCTGGTCCCAAACTCTCAACAATCCTCCTGCCTCAGCCTCCTGAGTGCTGGGAGTGCTGGGATTACAGGTGTACACCACCACGCCCAGCTAAAACAAAAGTTTTTAAAAATTTTTTTCCTCCAAAGAGAAGGTGCCACATCTGAGTTTGTATCATGAGTTAAACAACAGTTCAAAGTTCTCTTCCTGAGAAGAAGCAAAAGAGCTACAAGTTTGAGAAAGGGAAGTTTCTTAAAAGGCTCAAGGCAAACCTACCTGTACTATGATCATCTAAACCGGAAGGGACAAATGCTTTTCTGTTAAGTTGTGTCACAACTTCTTCCCTGTGTCCCTAACCAGGCACTGTACCCACAGAGACAAACCTGCACTAGCAATAGCAATAGGATATTCCACCTTCGTAAGGGGGTTCACTCAGAAGGTAAAGATCCACAAAAGAAAATATCACAACACAGGAAAAGAAAAAAAAAAGAAAATATCTCAACACAGTATCTAAAATATCTCAACACAGTATCTATAGAAAAACCCTTGGTTTCTCTTGAGTGAAGAACTGAAAAAGAAAAATAATATCCTTAAGGTTTGTAATGCTTGAGTGTCACACTGCTCAGTGGGCTAAAGAATGAGGATTGTAAGTCTAAGGCCAACCCAGGCAACTTAGCAAGACCTTGTCTCAAAGTAAGTAAAAAGGGCTGGAGATGCAGCTTACATGGTAAAGTACCTGCTTGGCACGTGCTAGTTCCTGGGACAGAAATGGCAAGGTGTAAGTACCACAAAACAAAAGAGAAAAAAAAAATCTTTTCAATAGTTTTAAAGTCTGTCACTGACCACCTAAATTTTGAAGTCATGTCAGTGCCTCCCCTCACTCTTGGTTCAGGGGCTTTCTCCTGAGTGTGGCAGTTGCTGCTCCAACAGCAACCAGAACAAGATGTTTCAGATACAGGGCATTTCAGCCATCGGCAACCCAGAGCAGAAATGTTCTGCCAATACTAATTCTTCAGATGTCAAACTACACGGGCCAAAGTTAACCCAACACGTTTCTAGTGCTTCTGTAATCATTTGGTAAAAATACTCCCTCCCCCCTTTGAAGAGCTACAAACTTTCAGTCAAAATCTTTTCCCACATGAAATCTCTACTTGCCAGGCAATTGTTTCATATGTGACTCAGTTATTGAACATTCCACCCAAACACTCACAACCCAGGCTGAGTTCACAGAACTGGCCTGACAGCTGGTGCAGGAGCAGCCTGGCAGGAGGCAAAAGGGCTACAGACAAACACACACTGTTGAGGGACAGTGTAGAGTCCTGCACACACTCTTGATCTCTGATCAGCCCAGTGCACAGGGCACTGCTTCCATGCAGAGGGCACACATCATTTCAGATTATCATGAACCTAGCCGAGGCCAATGGTGTACCCCGCAGGCATGCAGTCCCGGGCTCATTCTTGTATCCCAGGAAAGGAAATGGGAAACAGGTGTATTATCTTATGTACTCCAGACACTGTGTGAAAACGTATGCCTGACACGCTAAGATTTACTGTCAACATCTGACAATTCTAGCGAGTCCTCTCAATTTCCTTCTTCATCAGGAAAAGAGTTTGTGGCTTTAGGCTGCAGTTGCTGCATGATTTTACTGCTAGACTTATATTAAGAATATTGCCAGGCGTGGTAGCACACGCCTGTAATCCCAGCACTTGGGAGACTGAGGCAGGAGGATTGTTGCGAGTTCGAGACCAGCCTGGGCTACAAAGTGAGCTCAAGGCCAGCCTGAACTGCATAGCAAGTCCCTGTCTCAAAAAGACAAAGAAAAAAAAAATATGTACAACACTTGCATGCTAGATAAGGCACACTTTCATGTATGTGGCTCTTACAGACCCAGCTGGACAGCAGCAGAGAGGGAGGACACAGGGATGATCATTACAGGCAACTAGCACAGAACATGTGTGTGCAGGACTGCAAGCTCACACCATCATGCAGCTGCTCCTGACAGATGATGCACCTAAGCATGCCATTTCTCTGGCGGGCTATACGGCTATAATTCTGACTTGTTTTTTGCTTTTTGTTTTTTGAGAAAGGGTCTCACTACGTAGCCCAGGCTGGCCTTGAACTCAGAGATCCTCCTGCCTCCACCTCCTTATTGCTGGGATTTCATGTGTATGTCATGTTTGGTACTTCTGACATTCTCAAGGACAACTGTGTTTATTTACTGGTCTGCAGCCAACGAAGGATCAGATCTGGCTTCCCATTCCCTTTTTAGGTGAAAACTTAACAAATATTGTCAGCATTTTTACAATTTATTACTGTGTATTTCCAGTAAACTGTATATTAGCCTTAGGGGGAGTGTGTGTACTTAACATAGCCTAATTCTTTTCATTCTTTCCCCTTCTCCTCCTCCCACTTTCCATCTGCAAAAGATCTAATTTCCTGTTTCCTATCATTGGTCCTTTTTCACATTATTTACATTTGAGTTCTCACAGAAGTTATGTGACATTTAAGCTTGTGTCTGAATTATTTCACTTAACACAATGGTCTCGAAGTGCACCCATCCTCCTACAATGACTCAAATTCATCCTTCTTTATGGCAGAGCAGTACTATATTGTGCCTAAATACATTTTCTTGATCAATTCATCTGTTGATGGATATATAGGCCACTTCTACACTTTAGTTATTCTGAGGTGTACCGTTATAAGCACGGGTATGCATGTATCACTTGTGGTCAGATGTCTTAACTCTTTAGGGAAGATACCAAGAAGGGGAACAGCTGAATCAAATGGAATTCCTAATTTTAGTTTTTTGAGGAATCTCCATACTGATTTCCATAGTGGTTGTACCAGTTTATACTCCCACCAACAATGTAGACAGCTGTCACGTTCCCCACAGCCTTGATAGTAGTATATGTTTGTCTTAAATTTTGATGATAGCACACCTGTAATCCCAGGCCTGTAATCCCAGCACTAGGGAGGCTGAGGCAGGAGGATCACTGTGAGTTCAAGGCCCGCCTGACTACAAAGTGAGTTCAAGGCCAGCCTGAGCTGCATAGTAAAACTCTGTCTCAAAAAGGCAAAAAAAAAAAAAAAAAAATTGCACAGCGACACCCTCTCTCAAAAGACAAAAAAAAAAATTTTTTTTTGATAGCCATTTTTCCTGGAATAAGATGACACCTCAATATTATTTTGGTTTTTCAAGAAAGGGTCTCACCATATAGTCAGGCTGGCCCGTACCCCTACATAGGGAACCGGAGGGGTGCACTGTACTGCATAAGTTGACTATATAAAAGGTGATACATGCCTAACGTTCCCTGCCTGAGTAGTAGGCAACTGCAGGACCTCGGGGTTGCCTTGTACCTGAAGGATCTTTGGTCATGAGGAATAAATTTTATTAATTCCAAAGAATTCTTACATTATGACTTTTTGTGTAAAGATTTACAGATATGTGCTACATTGTGTTCCAACTTATTCTTCTACACCAGGTAGATAACACCTGTAGTCAGTCTATAAAGGGCCCTTTGGCTCAACAACTTTAGTCTGTTAATTACTGATCCACTAATATGGTATCTTATGATAACACCTGACCAGATTTTTTTCCCACTATTGTCTGACAGTGATCTCTAAATAAATACTAGTTTATTGTCAGGGAATGAAGGTCACAACATCTCACCCGTCCAAGGTTACGCTCCCATTTCAGAATGAAGACAAGC